AGCATCAGAGGAGCAGGAAGGCTGACGTTTCGGGCCTTGACCCTTCAGAAATCTGAAGAAGGGTCTAGGTCTGAAACGTCAGCCTTCCTGCTCCATTGATGCTGCTTGGCCTGCTGTGTTCATCCAGCTCTACACCTTGTTATCGCAGATTCTCCAGCATCTGCAGTTCCTACTGTCTCTGAAATGGCTTATTCTTGTCTGTTTTACTAAATCCTTCAAGATCTTTGAATACTTTCGCCAACAAATTCTCTTAAGAATTCCCTGCTGTAAGGAGAATAATATCAGTTTCTCTCCACATGATTGAAGTATTTGTCTTAGAAACCTGGTCATTTGACGTCCTTCCTGAAACCTGGTGCCCAGAACCAGTCACCGTGCTCCTTCTGGGGTCCAACCAGGCCCAACTTTATAAAAGTTTAATATGACTTATTTGGTTTTGTACTCTGTTCCTCTTTGCTAAAAGAGCCATCCCATATTCTGTTTTAAACAGCTTTCCTGGATTGTCCTTCCGCCTTTAAAGATCGTATACCTACAACCCTTAGGGGTTTCTGTTTCTGCAATTCTATTTGAAATTGTATTTAGTTTCTATTTAGAATTCTTTTCTACCCTTATTCTTGCTATCTAAATTCAATAATTTCACTGTTCTTTGCATTAAATGTTGTTATGTGGCATATATCTACCCATTAAACTGTCTATTGTCCTGAAGTGTTTTATTACCCTTTACATTGTTTTAAAATTATATTTCAATGGTTTGTTTTATCTTTCAAATTGTGTCTTGTATGCCGATATCATAATCATTAATTTATATCAAAAAAAGCAGTGATTCCAACACCAACCCCAGAGTCACGAGTACGCACTTCCCTCCAGTCTAAGAAAATTAATCACTCAATGCAACATTCTGCTTTGTCCCCTGACCAACATCATTTTCAGACAGTTTTAAATTCCATGGCTTCAATTTTGCTATTATGTGGCTCTTTACCAAATCTCAGTTAAAAGCTTATTTATGCAGCATCATTTTTCTTCATCTACTCCACCATTTTATGAAGGTACATAAATAAGTTAATTAAACACCATTTGCTTATAACACTGTAGAAATTATTAATTAACCTATGATTCTTCAATTAACAATTTTGTTTAAGATTATGGTCGGCCTGTGTGTATGTGTGTGTATATATATGCTTTCTGCCCTCTAACGCATTGTAGCTAGAGTAAGTAATTTTCTACTTTCTGTGCTGCCAGTCTTTTTTTTTAAAGCACTTTTGCTATATCTACTTTCTCTTTCACTGAGATTGTCCATACCAAGACAGAAGTAAAATATTAATATGGTATTTCAGCCAAACCCTCTGTCTCCACAAGAAAAGTGTGAATTACATGGGTCTTTCTATACACATAGAATGCTTTTGCGCTCGCAATGCTGTTAAATTTCAAATTAAATAAACAGTTTACATTCTTAACACTTTCCTGGGATTTAGGAAGCTAATCTGTTTACTGCCAGCATGAATGCTTTTGCCATTGTTTATAAGGGATGAACACCTTCTTCCCAGTACAACAACATAGTGTCTCTAAATTTTTAGCAACTAAGCTACCCAAGTCTGTTGATAGCAGAATTCTGAATGGGCCCCTTCATTCATCAATTTTTATCTTAAAGATGTCCCAAAACCCATCAATCCTTCAAACCTTAGATATGCAATAATAGGCTTCATGCTCCTCTTTCCCCTGTCTCTGCAGTACACAGTGCTATTCCTTTTCATAATTCTGATTTTGAATTTCTCATGGGCAGCATGGTGGCTCAGTGATTAGCACCGCTGCCTCAGCGCCAGGGACCCAGGTTCGATTCCAGCCTTAGCTGACTATCTGTGTGGAGTTTGCACGTTCTCCCTGTGTCTGTGTGGGTTTCCTCCCACAGTCCAAAGATGTGCAGGGTAGGTGGATTGGCCATGCTAAATTGCCCATAGTGCCCAGGGATGTTTAGGTTAGGTGGGTTAAATGTAGGAAATCAGGGGTAAGGGAATGGGTCTGGGTGGGATGCTCTGAGAGGTGGTGTGGACTTGTTGTCAAATGGCCTGTTTCCACACTGTAGGGATTCTATGATGACATAATACTCTCTCATTTGCCCTTATTTGTCTCACCTTTTGTTATAATTCCTCACTAGTCCATTTGTTTTATCTCTCCCTTCTATTCATTCAGTTTCAGCAACATTTCCATTCAATTCATAAGGAACCTTGTTCCTTATTCCTTATTTTGCTCTCTGGCATCATGCTCGTATTCATTCCCTCAGTTATGAGTGTAGCTTTTGTTTCATGGCATGGTTGATATCATTTACCTTTTACCATCTCCAAAAGGCATAGATAATGTGCCATGTAAAATATTACTAGCAAAGACAAAGTATTAGTGGTAGTAAAAGGCCTTAGCATTAATTTCTATGCCACTCCATTAGTTCCCAACACCGATCCCTGGGGGATTCCACTATAAACCTTCCAGCCTGAAAAGCTTTTATTAACCGGTACTCTGTTTCCTGACACCAAACCAGTTTTCGTATCCATGTTGTTACTGTCCCCTTTCTTCCACGAGCTCTGACTTTCCTTGCAAACTGTGGTGTGGCACTGTGAAATGCCTTCTGGAAGTTCCTTTCCAGCACATCATCACAATTACCTTCTTCAACTTTTTCTATTACCTCTGCAAAATAAAATCTCCAAGTTAGCAAAACATAATTTTCCCTTGAGAAATCCATGCTGGCTCTCCTTAATTCACTCACATTTTTCCTTGTGACTATGAATTTTGAACTTAATTGTTGGTTCCAGAAATTTGTTCACTGCTAAAGCTGAATTGACTGGTCTGTAGTTGCTTGGGGTATCCTTGCACCCTGTTTTTGAACTATGGCAATGTTGGCAATGTTTGCAATTCTCCACTGTCCTGGAGTCCAAGAAAGGCTGACAAATTATTGCCTGTGCCTCTGTAATTTCTATTCCTTCTCCCCTCAGTATTCTTAGATGCAGATTGCCCAATCTAGATGCCTTGTCAATAATTTGATTATAACTATAAAGTCTCAACAAAGAAGTAAAACCAGATGGACCACCTGGCTTTGACCAAGGCACCAGAAAAGTAACAGCCCTGTCAACCCTGCAAAGTCTTCCTTACTAACATCTGGGGCTAGTATCAAAATGGAGGGAGCTGTCTCTCAGACTAGTTAAGCAAAAGCCTGTCATAGCCATACTCTCAGCATCTTACCTTGCAGACAAAGTCTCAGACATTGCCATCATCATCCCTGGATATGTCCCTGTCCCAGACCCAGCACAGTAGTGTACAGTTGTGGAAGAGTTGCTGGGAGTCTTCAGCATTGTATCCGCACCCCATGCGGTCTCGTAACTTCAGTTTAAACATGGGCAAGGAAACCTGCTGGTTATCATGTACCATCTTCCTTCAGCTGATGAATCTGTACTCCATGTACTATATTCTATGTGGGGGATTTCATTGTCTACCACCAAGAGTGCTCGGTGGCAGCAACAGCACTGATCAAGCAGGTCCAGTCTTAGAGGACATAACTGTGAGACTGGGTCTGCGGCAGATGATGAGGGAACCAACAAGAGAGAAAAACATACTTGAACTCATCTTTACCAATCTGCCGGCTGCAGATGCATCTATCCATGACAGTATCAGTAAGAATGACCGCTGCACAGTCATAAAGTCATACAGCAGAGAAACAGACCCTTTGGTCCAACACATTCATGCTCACTGGGTTTCCCAAACTAAACCAATCCCATTTTGCCTGCATTTGGCCCACATCCCTTGAAACCTTTCCTGTTCATGTACCTGTCCAAATGTCTTTTAAATGTTGTAACTGTACTGGCATCGTCCACTTCCTCTGCCGTTTCATTCCACACAAGAACCCACTTCTATGTGAAAAAGTTGACCCTCAGGTTCTTTTTAAATCTTGCCCCTCTTACCTTAAAATTATGCCCTCTAGTTTTGAACTCCCTTACTCTAGGGAAAAGACTTTTGCTATTCACCTTATCAATGCCCCGCATGATTTTATAAACCTCTCTAAGGTTACTCCTCGACCTCCTAATGTCCATGTCTCTGCTTATCCAACCTCTCCTGAAATCCTCCAGTCCTGGTAGTATCCTCGTAAATCTTTTCTGCACCCTTTGCAATTTAATAACATGCTTCCTATAGCAGGATGACCAGAACTGCAAACAGTACTCCAAAAGTGGCCTCACCAGTGTCCTGTACAGCTGTAATGACATCCCAATGAATCAAGTGTGCCAAATGCTACTTTCACCAGCCTGTACCTGTGATGCTACTTTTCAAGGAACTATGTACCTGAGCCGTTGGGTCTCTCTGTTCGACAACACTCCCCAGGGCCCTACCATTAACTGTGTAAGACCCCTGCCCTTGTTTATCTTACCAAAATGCAACACCTCCCATTTATCTAAATTAA